ATCCCTGTCCTGCCTCCTGAGAGGGGACAAGAGGAAGGCAAGAGCTTGCTCTCAGCAAGGCCTGGAGAGCGCCTGGCCGGGCTGTGGCCTCAGCGTACTGGGAAGAGAGAGCTTGCCAGGAATTTCCTGGGGCAGCTCCAGGGTAGGCTGCTTGGATCTAAGGGTTACAGGGTGGCCTGGGCCCTGCCCCCCTCCTCTTTCCCCGGCACGTCCCAACCCTGTACATTCTTGGAATCTGTGAGTTGTGCCGTGTTCTGTGGGCACTGGGAGTTTGCTTTGAAACCCGTGGCACCAACATCTGTTAGCTCTTAGAGAACAGAAAGATTGACAAAGCACTGCTGGGGCAGGCGGTGGGGGAAGATCTTACATTCAGGAGTAGGAAGTCTCAAAGACAGAGGAAAAACCCCAACCAAACTCCAGCTCGCTCCCCAAGGCTGCTTTGATGTGGTTTTCCCATTCCCGGAGGCCTTATAAGGTATCGTGCCTGGATTCTGGGCTCTGGACTGGTGCTGGCCGCACACCCTGTGCCCGGAGGAGCTGGCCTCTCTTCCTGGGGCCCAGTGTGGGGCAGAGGAGGGGCTTTAGGGCCAGCTGATGGGGCACCACTGGGACTTAGGAAGGTGGCACATCTGGGCCTGAGAGGCCACCAAGCCAGGCCACTGGGCAGGAGCAGCCTGGCCCCAGGTCTGGTGGAGCAGGGGCTCTGGAGACCCAGGAAGGTCTTTGATCAGAACTTGCAGAAGAGGCTGAGGCCCACTGTCCTGGAGGCTAGAGGGGAGGGGCCTGGGACCACGGGCAGAGTGACAACTAAGTAGACAAAAGAAATGGAGGAGGGTGGCCGCTGTAGCCAAGCCCCACATGTGGGTTTCCCAGGTGCAGTGGTGAAGGGTGTGGGCTTGGGCACTGGCACTGGCACTTACTAGCTGTGTGACCTTGGGCAAGTCACTTGACCTTTCTGTGCCTCAGTTGTCTCATCTGTAAAGCAGGGTAGTCATGGCAGTCCTTTGGAATACCTGAAAGGATTGCCACGAGGGGGAAATGCAGCCCCCTGAAAACCGTGTGCTGGGCAGGATGGGGCATGTTTCCAGGTGTCTGTGAGGCCACCTGGGGTCTGGCGAGTCTCTCGGCTCGTCCCAGCAGTGTTCTGGCCACCATATGATAACAATAGCAAGAGTAATAAACAGTAACTACTGACCTGATGAACCCCATTTCCACTTTCAGCTGCCCTGCTAAGCGCTTCACACGCAGTGACTTCCTCACTTCTCACACTGCCCCCCTCAGATATCCTGATTGCTGTCGCCCCTGTTTACGAATGGGGAGACTGAGGTGCACTAGAGATAAAGTTCCTTCCCCCAGGTGGCGCAGCACATGTGAGGCAGAGCTGGGATTTGAACCAAGGTCTGACCACCTCCAGTTCCATGCCCTCTGCACGGGGGCTCCCAGTGGCGCCGTCGAAGGTCGGAGTGTGTCTCCCGGCAACAGCTGCCTTCCCGAAGGGTGGTGCCGAGGGCCTGGCCCTGGCCCTGACATGTGAGGCTGCCAGCCAGGGCTCAGCTTGAGGGCAGGGCTAAGTCCTCAAGTTGTGGGGAGCAGCAGGGGAGCTTTGAGTCTTGCTAGGCAGATGGGAGCCATTGACCACTCACCCACTGGAGCTGCTGGCTGGACTATTTTTCTTGCACTCCTTTAGGTGTGATCCTTGGTCCCTGGTAGGTGCCAGGACTCCTGGCTACCTCTGCTCCCATGCCCACAGGAGCCCTGGTTGCATGAGTAGGAGTCCGGGCTGAGGCACCTGAAAGAGCTGGCTTGAGTCCCCACTCCGCCCCTTGCTGGCAGGTGATCCAGAGGGGGTCGCAGCCTCTTGGAGCCTCTTAGCCACTTAGATGCAGGGCTGTGGGGAGGCCATTCTCCGGAGCCTCCTGTGAGGATCCCATTGGTCAGTACCTCGCACACTGTGAGCACTTGGTAAATGATGGGTGACTGTCATCAGCACTGTTTCTGGTCTCATACGGTCCTTCAGGGTTGAGGCCTCTTTCTTTGTAGATAATAACGGTAACGATTATACCTCTGACTTTACAGTTTGCAAATCATTTTAATGAGCATCTATTTCTTGAGAGATGGAAAGACCAGGGCTGTTGTGATGATTCAGGGGGTTAATAAATACACGTGTACACAGTTGGCCCTCCATATCCATGGGGTCTGTATTTATGGTTCAGCCAACCATAGATAGGAAATATTTGGAAACAAAAAAGCATCCGCACTGAACACATACAGACTTTTCTTGTCCTTATTCCCTAAGCAATACAGTATAACAACAATTTCCATAGCATTTACACTCTGTTAGGTATTGTAAGTAATCTAGAGGTTATTTAAATATAGGGGAGGATGTTTATAGGTTATATGCAAATACTACACCATTTATATATGGGACTTGAGCATCTACAGATTTTGGTAGCCTCAGGGAGTTTTGGAACCAGTTGCCCGCAGGTACTGAGGAATGACTGTATATATAAAGTGTCTAGCATGGTGCCTGACACATGGAAAATGCACAGTAAGTGTCAGCTCTTTGGTTATTATTGTGGTTGATGACTGTGCCCATTTTACAAATATGTAGACTGAGGTCAAAGGCGAGGCAGGCGGTACAGCCAGGATGTGATCCTGTGTTTGGCTCCACATCCCACATGGCTTCTGGCCTAGAGACTCAAAGCTCTAGGAGCATGCACACTGCACACCGCAGACCCTGGCTGTGTGGCTCAGCAGAGGGGATGCCCTTTTTTTTTTTTTTTTTTGAGACGGAGTCTCACACTGTCACCCAGGCTGGAGTGCAGTGGCGCAATCTCAGCTTACTGCAGCCTCTACCTCCCAGGTTCAGACGATTCTTCTGCCTCAGCCTCCCAAGTAGTTGGATTACAGGCGTCTGCCACCACGCCCGCCTAATTTTTTGTATTTTTAGTAGAGACGGAGTTTCACCATGTTGGCCAGGTTGCCTGACCTCGTGATCCACCTGCCTCGGCCTCCCAAAGTGCTGGGATTACAGACGTGAGCCACTGCGCCCCGCCGGGGAGAGAGAATTTTTGCAAAGTTGAGCATTGGCACAGCACAGTGCGTCCATGGACCATGGCTCCAGGGAGCTTTCCAGTGTTCTTCAGAGCAGGGTGCTGTTGAGTGGTGAGAGGCCTATCCCGGAACTTGCCAGAACTCTGCTTTCTGGGTGTGTCAGAGAGCTTGGTCCTCTGAACAGGGAGTGCTGAAGCTGTCAACGGTGATGACTGGGGTGCCTTGAGCACACGTGGTCATCGTTATAGGATCCCACACGGTTGCCTTGTTGGTGGCAATGTCTGGAGTCTTTAAACTCTTCCAAGTGTGCCAGTAAAAAGACACGAGTACTCAGACGTCTCATTGATGCTGTCACCCGGCTGCGGTGCAGTCAGGGTGGCAGGCGCAGAGCCCCCCTCTGCAGAAGACCTCAGCGTGAAGAGGTGCACAGATGCTCTTGAAGACCGTTGCCTGTTCCCTCGAGGAAGCTCTGCCTACCAGCCTTTCAGGGGACGGCGGCACCCGTCTTTCTCCTGCATGAAGGATGGGCTTTAATTGGCTGCTGGGGCGTCCCAGCCATCTAATGATGCCACCTGTGTGCATCCCTTTCCTGTCATCGTCTCCCAGCTCCCCTGTCAACTCGGGCTCTGTTAACACAAACAGCCAGTTTACAAGCCCAGGAAATGTTCGATGATTATAATAATTGGCGGAGGAGGAGAGGGAAGCCATCCTGACTCGAGGAATAAAGTAGCCTGGTTTTGAAGTAAATGGGACACCAGAGTCTGAATGGCCACATTTTAACAGCTTTTAAGAAAGAGTGTGTAATGCCCTAGAAAGATTTGAAAGAAGAAAGAGAATAGCCACAAAATGTTAGCTGTTTGTCTTTAAAACAAAAAACAAAAAAAAAGCAAGAGGCTTACCTCCAGCTGTGTCCAGTTGATGAGATCAGCAATACAAAGCCGTGTTTTCCTTTTGTTCATCAAGATGAGGACTGGCTTTTTTTTAAGCATCATCTGAGGTGCAGATTTTTTTTTTTTTTTCTCCCAAGGAAAGGGTTGGGTTTTTTTTCTCTCTCTCTCTTTTATTTTTACAAAGAGAAGTTGGTGACAGCTGCTGAGTTTGGGCTTTTTTATTGCTTGTCATTTTGTGTTTTGAGAAGCACTACCATAGCATTATCATCCCCCCAAACCCTTGTCTGTCCTCCCATAACAGGAGTATTTCCTAAAGCGGGTTTCTTGGGACATGAATCTTGTGATGCTTTTGAAAAATGAAGCTCCATGGTCTGAGTAAGTTTGGAGAATGCAAAATATGCCAGCACTTGGAGATTCACAGTGTTTAGAACCATAGGAAAAGTCCTGATAAGTCCTGCTGTAAGGGATCTTGTTTAACTTTGTTTAAAAGAATCTTCTTTGATCATGGAAGTCTTCTGGCAGAATACCAATAAATACAGAAGACAGTTTGACAAGGTATGGTCTAGCTTCTTCCATATTTGGAGTTATCCTGCTAGGGTGGGTCAGACAGATGGGGCCTTTGTTGATATCCTAGAAATTTCCCAGCTTGTGGACCAGCAACACTCCCCTCGCTAACTTGACACCTCCTGGTCAGGTTAGTTGGGATGAGATCCCAGATATCCTTAACTCACTGGTGGGGAACAGGCAGGGTGAGTGCAAGGAATCAGGCTGGTTTCCGGAAAGCATGTGTGTTGGTGAAATATGGGAGGCATGATGGAAGACCAGGTGGAGCCATAGCCTGCAGGGGCCTGAATGTTGTGGTGACACGTGTGCATTTATGTTAAGGGCAGGAGGGACCCACCTTGGTGCTTAACTTTTCAGGTGCGATAGGATCTGCCTCAGTTGACCTGAATTCCCATCAGAAGAATCAGCCCAGGGTCTTCAAGGCGCCACTTTTAATGTCTCAGCACTGGACTCCCCCTAACCCCTGCTCAATGCCTCTGCTTTGTCTTCTAGGAGCTCGTGGGCGACGTGTTGAGAGACACGCTCAGCGAGGAAGAGGAGGACGACTTCCGGCTGGAAGGTACTCGGAGTCCATTGCTCTCTTCTCAGCAGCAGCAAGTGGGGGAAGCTGGTGTCCAGCTGGCCGTGTGCCCTGCATATTCCAGAAAATCTGCAGACGGAGGGCACAACAGGGACCTTGTGACTCTGGGTGGGGGTGGACTAGAGGGTGAGATGGAGGAGAGGAGTAAGACTCAGATGTGGCACTTCATAGGTCCAAGCCCAAGTCGGGGCCTGGTCACGTAGGTCCACGTCCTGACCCTGCACCAGATTAGCTGGGGGACCTCGGACAGGTTGTTGAAACTCTGCTGCTCCTCTGGGGATAATAAGAGTGGCTGCTCAGAGTGGTGTGTGAAGTGTGATCAGGCAGTGCTGGGCATGGAGTAAGCATTACACACAGTGCCTATTCCATTTCGTCCATCATGTCACTCCCTTGGCGCATGAGTGCACACACACACACACACACACAGCCAGCCTCTCACCTCTCTCCTGTGTCGTCCTCCTTCCTTTCTTGAGACGGGGTCTTGCTCTGTCACCGAGGCTGGAGTGCAGTAGGTAATCATTGCTCACTGCAGCCTTGACCTCCTGGGCTCAAGTGATCCTCTCACCTCAGCCTCTCAAGTAGCTAGGACTACAGTTGCACGCCACCATGCCAAGCTAATTTTTAAATTTTTCTGTAGAGACGGGGTCTCACTATGTTGCCCAGACTGGTCTTGAACTTCTGGCCTCAAGCAACCCTCCCACCTCGGCCTCCCAAAGTGCTGGGGTTACAGGCATGAGCCACTGCACTTAACCGCTGCCTTCTTTCTTCATGGTGAAGCGCCGTGTTGTAGAGAGAATCAGGATACTCAAGTAGAGGGTCTGCTGGCTGCTGGTGTGCTGGTTTGACTTTGCGCAGGCCACCCCACCTTTCTGAGCCTCAGTTTCCACATCTATAGAATGGGAACAAGGGCCTTTGCCCTGCTTGGCTCCCAGAATTGGTGCCAGGAACGGATGACAGCGTGAAGCAGAGTGTTTGCTGAATGGGAAATTTTAAATTCAGAAACGGGAAGAAATCACCAAATGGAGGGCTGCCTTACGAGAGTAAGGAAGGATATCTCTGCTGAGACCAGGCAGACAGCTGGCTGGAGAGCTGGGGGGCCATGGTGCAATGGTCTGCAGAGGGGGATCCAGGCCTGCAGGTGTCCGAAGGGCCGCAAGAGGAGAGCAGACTGTTCTGAGAAGTTCTTAAGGGGAGCCTGGGCCAGACCTGAGGACCGTGGCCACTTCTGGCCTGAGAGCTGTTATAAATATAGAATCTTCACTCCAGCCCAGGCCTGCTGAATCCGATCTGCATTTTAATAAGCTCCCCAGGTGACTTGCATGCACACTACACTCGGAGAAGCACTGTTTGAAGATACTCACTCCGTTGCCTAGAAGTTGGAGGCAGGCTGGAGAGCCAGGTATCTAGCAAACTTTGTTCAAATGTAAGCAGGCCCCAGATCAAGGGGGAGGAGTCCTGTGAACAGAAAGCTTTGTGTGTGCATACAGTCTGATATCTTTTACATAAAAGAAGGCACCAGACCATCCTCAGGAGTTTCTTAGGGTACCACATATGCATATGACTGTGGATAGAGGCCTAGACAGATGATAACCATAGCTCTTTCCAAACATGGGAGGAGACTTAAGTCTGTGTTATCTGCATTTCATGGTTAAACTTTTATAAGAAGAACATAGTTGGGCATGGTGACTTATGCTTATAATCTCAGCACTTTGGGAGGCTGAGGCTGGAGAATTGCTTGAGCTCACAAGTTCAAGACCAGCCTGGGCAACATAGCGAGATCCTGTCTCTATTATCAATAATTCTAAAATTATATTTTTTAAAAAAATCAAAAAAGATAATTGTGTATTCCTTATGAATTTAAAAACTAATGTCAGTATTTAAAAGTGAAAACCGTAAATAAGGCAGCAGGAGCAGAGCTGCTCTGGTTGAGTCGGGTGGGCATTTGGACCTGTCCGTGTGGCCCTTAAGACCCCATGAGGGACCCTGGACCCAGTGGCCATCTGTGGTCCTCTGGCACCCTTGGTCCTGTGGTCCGAGGCCGCCCACCCCAGGGTGGGCAATATGGTGTGGATGGCAGGCCACCACATGGCTAGGTCTGGTGAGAGCAGGTGCTACTGAGTTCTGGCCACAGAAAACCAACTGTCTGCTCCGGACCTGGGACTGGGGGGTCCCTCTGTGCTACTGGCCAAGGGAGAAAAAGCCGAGTCCTGAATCTCTTCTTTGTCTTCCTGTTGGCCAAGTTCATTGCCTCTTGGCGGGCTGGAGAGCTGTTTAAGAGAGAAAAAAGGCCATCTGAGGCGTGAAGATAAAAAGAAGTCTTTTAGCCATCCCAGGAGAGGATGGCTTTAGCTCCCGCGTTGTTATGTAAAGCCGGCCCTAATCCAGCGTCTTAACCGCCTTAACTGGCCAGCTGGGAGCGGGAGGGATGGGAGATTAAGGCTGGGCTTGGTGCGAGGGCCAGGGCTGCAGAGCTCCTTTTGAACTGGGGAAAGAACAAAGTAAACATCAAAAGTCCCAAGCTCTGAGAGCTGGCTGGGCGTGGCGGGGCTGGTGAGGTGAGGCTTTCGTGGGGAGGAGGGGAGAGGGCCCCCTCCTCAACTGACCCAGCTAGGGTCTGAGGACCAGGGAGGGGCGACCCCATGCTCACCTTCAGCACACACCCGGCCTCCCTGCCCCACAGCTGGGCAGCACTCCAGGTAGTCGCAGCCTGTGGCTTGGACCCCACGGGGAGAATGGGTGCCAGGTCGCGTTCTCCTGCATGGCCTCCAGGAGTCACTGTGTCTGAGGGTGCTGCAGCCACTGCTTTGTCCCCCTCTCCCATCTCCCTCTCTCCAGGAACCCCCTGCCTCTCACCTGGTGAACCCTGCCCCCGCCCAGCTTCTTGGCTATCTCTGTGTCTCACCTCTGGGCCTTTGCTCATTCTCCCTCTGGGTCCTCAAGTGCCTGGTTCCTATCTTTCCACTTCCCGGCATCTTTCTCTAGGAAGCCCCCTCTGCAGGGCGTGGTCTAGCCTGCAGGGTCCCTGCTTCCTAAAGGAGATGCTACAACCACTGAAGTCAGGCAGCCCCTCCTCCTCAGGACCAGGCCCGGGCCTCCCAGCTTCCTGGGCAGGCCTTGCTTTGCCCCTGCCGCCCCTTCCCCACTGGCCTGACGTGCAGACGTGGCAGCCCTTGGGGTGGTCTCTGCTTCCTCAACCCAAGGGTGGATGTGCCTGGAGTTGCTCGTTCTGCCCAGCAGGGAGCAGTGCTAGGACCGAGACCTGGTGGGGGCTTAGCAGCACTCTGGGAACTCAGGTCCTGTTCAGCTCTGCAACGGTCCCTAACTTTGCCTTCCTCATCTCTCGTCCCTTCATTCTGACTTTTTATGAATTTGCAGCTCAGACCCCATTCTAGCCTGGCTTACCCACACTCACTATGTGACCTTGGGCGGGTCACTTCCCTGTGGCTTAGTTTCCTCACTGGGTTCCTTGTAGCACTTCTTCGCCAGGGTTATCGTGAAGACAGTGAGGTGATGGATGTAGGTCCCAAGGGTGGCCCTGGTACAGATTAAGTGCCCAACACACTTGAGCTGCCATGATTCTTGTTTCCTGGGTTCAGTTTTCTTGAAGAGGCACCAGCCCATGTTTATAATCATTTACCTAACCCAGATCAAAGACGGCCTCTTTGCAAAGCTTCTTTAATCCTATTAGAATCTCCAAAGGCCTCCCCGTGCTCCCAGTGCCTGGAGTAGGGTCTGGCATGCTGTATGTGCTCAATAAATAAACACTCACTGAAGAAGGAAAGTCAACACCGTGTAGTCACTGAAAGCAGACGACTCCTCCCTCTGCCTCACTGAAAGCAGGTGACCCCTTCCTCCGGCCTCTCAGGCAGGTCCTATGTACCTGTGTTGGGGCCTAGGCTAGTCCGTCCAGGCTCCCAGGGGTCAGATGTTGGGCAAAGGGACTTGGGAGGCCTATAGTCTCTTTCATTGGTAGTTGGAAAACTAAAGCCCAGAGAGGGGAAGTGACCCGTCCAAGGTCACACAGCAGACTGAGAACAGAATCTGGCCCCTCACTCCTCGCCATTCGGTATGTGCTGGGCATTTGCTGCAGCTAGGGGCTTTGCTGGGCCCTGGGTTCACAGTGAGCAAGGTAGGCAGGCCCATTGGTCACAACATTCACAGGAGGGAGGCAGGGATGAATATGTAAATCTGAGAAAGAGCATGGAAGTTTCTGGTAGTGGTTCTCTGCTAAGAGGTAAAACCCAGGGAGAGGTAGAGTGAGGAGGCTTTTCTGAGAAGGTGATGTTTCACCTGAGATGCAGATGTCAGGAAGGAGCCAGCCATGGAAGAATGTAGGGGGAGAGCAGCTAGGAGGAGTGAGCAGAACCCCAGGGTAGAGGGAACTTGGTGTTTGGGGAAGAACAGAAAGGAGGCCGTTGTGGCATCAGGAATGAGAGTGGGGCGGTCGTCAAGTGTGGGACCACGCACTTGGGTTGGAGAGGGTTGGGTGGGTGACTGCTGGATTCTGACCTGTTTTAAGAAGCGAATTCTGGCTTCTGGGAGGGACTGCCCATGGGCAGGGAGGAAGGGGGCAATGAAACCAGGAGGTGATTGCAGGGTTGCAGACGAGAGGAGATGGTGCTGGCCTAGTTTGGGAGCTTGGGGGGGAGAAGTCCATGAGGCTAGGGGTTGGAGCTGGTGAGAAGGGAGTTGAGGGAACGATAGAGATCAGGGATGCATCTTAGACTTTTGGCTTCAGGAACTAAGGATTTGGCAGTGTCACTTCTGAGGTGGAGGTTTTGGCAGGTGACCATCAAGTCTCCTGTTTTTGGACCTGTTGGGTTCAAGATGCCCATTTAACATCCAAGGAGAGGTACCGAGGAGACCGTGGGATACCTGCTGATTGGAGCTTGGGGTTCAGGGAGCAGTTGGGCAAGAAACAGAGAGAGAGCGAGTTAAGACTTCTCAGGAAGTAGCCACGGACACTGCCTGGGACTCCC